CTTAACATTGCCATGTTTTAGTAGCTTCTTGGTGGAGTTTTTTGGGTCTTCCAAGTAAAGTATCATGTCATCTGCAAATAAAGATAATTTAATTTCTTCTTTACCTATTCTTATCCCTTTTATTTCTTTCTCTTGTCTAAAGGCTGTAGCTAATGATTCCAGAACTATATTCAATAGGAGTGGTGATAGAAGACCAGATCTTTTCTTGTACCAGATCGAAGAGCAAAAGATTTCAGTTCTCCCCCTTTTAGGATTATGTTAGCCATTGGGATTTCATAAATGGCTTTTACCAGATTGAAGTAGAGGCCATGTATTCCAATTTTCTGTAGGAGTTTGAACATGAATGAGTGTTGGACTTTGTCAAAAGCCTTTTCTGCATCAATGGAGATGATCATGTGGTTTTTAGTTTTCGCTCTATTGATATAGTGTATTCCATTTATAGATTTTCAAATATTGGACCATCCTTGCATCCATGCAATGAATCCTACCTGGTCATGGTGTATGATCTTCTTGATGATTTGCTGTATTCTCTTTGCTAGGATTTTATTGAGGATTTTGGCATCTATGTTCATGAGGGTGATTGGCCTATTCTTCTCTTTCTTAGTTGCATCTTTCCCTGGTTTTGGTCTCAGTATAATACTTGCCTGCAGGAATGATTTTGGGAAGATTGCTGCCTTTTCAAGTTCATTGAAGAGTTTGAGGAGTATAGGGACTACATCTTCTGTAAATGTCTTGTACAACTGAGCTGTGAATCTCTCTGGACCTGGACTTTTCTTTGCCGGTAGGTTTTTAATTACATCTCGTATTTCATTGGCTGTTATTGGGCTATTGATAGTGGTTATATCTTGTCGATTCAGTTGTGGTGCTTTGTACCTTTCTAGGATTCTGTCCATTTCTTCTGTGTGTTCTATTCTGTGAGGGTAAAGATTCTCAAAGTAGCTATTGACAATCTTCTGAATTTCCATTGAGTCTGTGGTCATTACACTCTTTTCATTCCTTATTTCTTGTATTTGAATTTTTCTTCCTCTGTTTGATGAGGTTAGCTAGGGGTTTATCGATTTTATTTAATCTTTCAAAGAACCAGCTTTTTGCTTTTTCAATTCTTTGAATTGTTTTCTTCATCTCAATTGAATTAATTTCTGCTCTATCTTTATGATTTCTTCTCATCTTTGGGCTCTGGGTTTGGTTTGCTCTTCCTTTTCTAGTTGTTGACGGTGCAGCATTAGGGTATTTTATTTGTTTTTTTTTTCTTTTCAAAGTTTTATTGGTAACCATATAGCAATGAGACAGTTTCAAATCAAATCGAAAGTACAGTTTCAACAAATAATACACTGCATATATTCTTCTTAGTGGTTAATTGCTG